CCAAGATATTCAATTTCTTTTTGAAGAAGTTTTGATTTCTTCTTAGAGATAATTAGACCTTTTTCTTTTATTCTCTGTAAAACTATCAAGATTTTTTCACGATGGTCTTCTTCTGATTGATTTGTGAAAATAATAATATCATCAATGTATGCCAAACAGAACGATTGAAAACCTTCTAATACATGATCCATAAACCGTTGGTAAATAGCTGGTGCTTGTTTCATCCCAAATGGGAGAACATTCCATTCGTAATGTTTTTGTGGTGGACATGAAAAGGCTGTTAAAGGTTTGGTATTCTCATGTAGACGAAGTTGCCAATATCCAGATTTAGCATCTAAACTACTAAACCAAGTTTGACCTTTTAATCTTTCTAATATATAGTCTTTCCTAGGTAGTTTATAGCTATCTCCTATTGTTTGTTCGTTTAGTTTTTTATAGTTTATTACCATTCTTCTTTTTCCTCTTTTGATTTCATTGTTATTTTCTACATAAAAGGCTGGTGCACTGTGAGGACTTTTACTTTCTCGTATTATTCCTTTTTCAGCTAACTCTGAACATTCCTTTTGGAATTCTTCTACATCTCGTTGAGTATATTGAATTTTGTTAGGGACATTAACTTCCATTTTAGGATCTTTTAGTTTAATTTCGATAAGTTCTTGATTGGTATTTTTATCTTTATCTAAAGGATGTTCACTACACACCTGGTCTAAAGTATCCTCTAGAATGCTATAAGTAATCTGTATATATTCTAGTCTATTTTTGAGGTTTTGAAGCACAATTTTTAGCACTTCATTTTTTGTGATTATTCTTGTTGTGATTATCTTAGATTCCTGGTCTATTGTTTTAGGACATCTAAGGCTGATTGTTCTAATTCTTTGGATAAATGGTTGATATAATTTTAGAAAGTTATTTCCTATTATTATATCTAGTCCTGAGTCATGTTGATATATTGTTTTAGCTGTGAAGATATGTTTTTCAATGATTATTGGTACATATTGTTTTACATACCAAATTTCATGGATAGATTTGTCTGCCACTATAATTTTTAAAGGTTTTTCAAGTTTATCCCATTTTTTTATGGTTGATTTTTTGGCAAAACATAAGGTTGCCCCTGTATCAATATATGCTAAGAAGCTTTTCTTCTCTATTTCAATTTTAATAAATGTTGCGTTAGGATTGCCCTTAGTTAAAACCTTCTTCTGACTCATCTGAAGAGGTTTCTGAGGTTGAAATATATTCAATAATTTCTATATCGGATAGTTCAAAATCTGTTTCTTCGATTGGTTCAAAACCACAATCGTAAGCTAATCTAAGGACTTCTTGTTTTCTAGTGTTAGTATTTTTCTTAGGACATCTATTTGCGTAATGTCCTTCTTCGTTACATAACCAACATCTACAATTTGTTTTTCCTTTAGGACAGTATTCTTGTTGTCTTGATTTTTGTTTATACTGTTTTCTATTTCTGAAATATTTATTTGGTTTTCTAAACCTATTTTTTCTATATTCTTTGTAGGGTATTTTTCTCCATTTTTTATAATTTCTATATTTTTTCCGAGTTTTAATGATCTTACGATCATCATTACATCCATACTTTCCAACTCTGTCCATTGTTTGTTCACAACAGAGTTTAATTTTAGCTTCTTTCTTTAGTTTTTCCTTATTGCAAGCTTGTTTATGCCATTCTTGTAAAACTAATATTCGTCCTCCTAATGTATTTGGTATCTCTTCTTTAGCCAAAGTTTCATTAAAGGTAGCTTCAACTTTTTCAGAGACATTAGGTGGTAATTTAGCATAGAGTAATTTATCCATCTCTTTTCTTATCGAAGGGGTGACTTGATAATAATGTGTTCTGAATTCACAAATAAATGGTTCTAAGAAGCACATGTTGCAAATTCTAAGATTAGTTAAATGCCAAATAGCTTGTTGACTTATGGTTGTGTTAGGTTTATCTTCTCGAGGATGTCGTCCTAAGAATTCATGAGTTATAGCATTTAAGACTTTTTCAAAGGTATTCGTCGCATCTGTTGTTCCATATAACGTTGTCTTAGTAGGAATATCCATGTTGTTAAGATAATGATAAACTGCCCCAGTTGTTTTATATATTAAGAAATTAAACATTTCATTAGGGTGTAATTTCTTTAGATCTTCATTCGTTTGTATTAGTAATCCTGTTCGATTTTTCCAGTCTTCTAATTCTTTTAATGGGTTGACGCAACAATCAAGATCTAATATATCAGGATTGTTAAAACTAGTGGTGGAATATTTTGGTATGTAAGATTGAGGTATTTTACTCCATCCTCCCCCTTTGCGAGGTGTATACGAATTTTTATATAAGTATTCATCAGAAAATAGTTGACCATCTTTATAGTCATTAAAATCACGCTTCCGTGATGTTTCAGCTTGATCCTCAGTTTCAGTTTTCGTGTAATTTGTATTTGTGTAATTTTTATAGGGGTTTTCGTCACTACTATAGTCAAGAACTATTTTATCGTTTTCTATATTTTCTTCTATTTCTGGTTCTGATTCAATAGTAATTGCGGCTAGTAAATCGTTTAATTTATTAATCTGTTCGTCAATACTAGTCATAGAAGTTTGTAGGGTGCCATGATAGTTAATGGGATAGGTTTTCCTGATTTATGCTCATTCAAATATTCTTTTATATCTTCAATTGTAATGCTTCTTTTATTATCTAATTTAATTATTATTTCTTGAAGTTTAATAATGATTTCCTTAAGATCTTCTACCGGTAATACTATTTCCTTAGAATTTGGAGTTGTTTTTCCCATTGCTATTTCTCTTTGTTTTATATCCACTATTATATTGGTAATTGTATCCTTAGCGTGTTCTAAATCTGAATATATATCTTTTTGTTTTTCATTACCTTGATATTCTAATATTGATTTTAATTGCTTATTATTGTCTTCTAATATATTTATTAGATTTCCTTGATATTCATCTATTTTTCTTCCTAATTTTTCTAGTTTTATCGAAATATTTTCAGTAGCCATAATTTGTCTATAAGGTGGATATTAGTTCAGCCATTTTGGATACGAGTTAGTATCTGCTAACAAAAGGGCTTGTTAGCATTTTAACTTTTTCGCAACCGGAGACAGGGGGTGCATTTAGAGATGGCCAGGACCAAGTAGAATCCACCAGTTATTATGTCTGGTAGACCAAAAGTGCTTTCTTTCCAATGTGAAGAAAAGTAGATGGAAGCTTACCACAAGTAACCACTATCGTTGCTACAGGGTGACCGTTTCTTGGATCACTGCCTTTGCCTTTGTCCTTTTTCCTAGGAGGTGTGGCGAGGCATCTTTCATAGACTCGACGAGCACAACTTCTTCCATATATATTTTTTTATTGGTTCACCCATCATATATTTGAACCATCCTTGCAAGTTAACTTTAGGGTAGCTTGTTATTTTTCTAGAGACCACAGGATGATGACATCTTCCTTGTGAAAAGTAGAGGTCTCCAATAAGACAAGTCAAAGGATCCTAGCTTGGAGCAAAATCTTAATTGACATTATCGCCACCGTGAGAATGTTGGAATCGGAGACCATGGTGTGATGTCGATACGTGGGGTAGAGACCGACACCACATGGTTGGGTCAAAAATAATTCCGATGGTTGCTTCGTTCCACCATCCCAACAAGCAGCAGTCGGGGAGCAGTGTGAGTTTGGCAGGGTTGCTTATTGGGGGCTTACACCATCATTATGGAAAGTTGTTCCATCACTCATGCGAAACTCAAAGGGGCCATTGAGAGTTTTCAGTTGGTCAGACAACTTGGACAATGGGGGGTAGCCCAGTAAATGGATTCGACAGAGATATTATCCATTCTGTAAGCGATGGGTGACACGTCTCGTCAGTGTGCGATCTTAGTGCTCCAGTTTCGCAAGCTGCTCTTAATGGAGTTGGAAGTTAGCTTATCTCATGTTATTAGAGAGGGGAACTTTTAGCCGAATGTTTGGCTCATATGGGCTTCTCTATTCCTTCTCCTTTTGTTTCTAAGCATGACCCTAAGATCCGTGAGTGGGTTTTACATAACATTTTAAGAATCTTAGTACCCCGAAGTATAATATTTGAGGTTGTGATGTTGTGTGCCAGCTTAAAAAAAGACGATCAGTAACAATCTCATATTCAAATTTTCCAACTCTAACACGATAGCAATGGACCTTTTTGTTAGCTCCTAAGTATTTCAAAATTGATTGTTAATGCTCATAACATCCCTCTAATTTAGCTGTTGTTGAAGCTCCATCTTTAAAGTCCATTTCTCTCCCACGCTACACATGAAATAGAAAATGTAACAATTATCATTAAAGCAGCTCAAACGAGACTTATTACGTCCATGTGAATTATGTCTCCTATCTCTATGGATGTGAAAAGAGGCAGTCAATCAATATAGATTGATCCAAAATTTGATTGAAATCCAATTTAACGGTACATAAAAAATTGTATCGAATCAATTCTTGTTAATAAATAAATAAATCCGATTCTAACTTCGGAGACTTTCTGCACCAAAAATATTCTCCGATGATATCCGTACTTGAATGACAAGCACTTATTATGGTCTTGTCCATTTATATTGCTGGTGACTCTAAGAACAGGTTGGGGTTTGGGCCCAAAACAAAATACTCATAAACTATGAATGATAAGAAATAATGGGGTTGTTCTAAAAAAAACTAATAGGCCTGCAAGTTCAAGAAATACTATCGGCCCATGAAGCCCAAAACCGAAACTGGAACGATCCCAAGTCCCAACGGCAACAAATGGGAAAGACATTTTGCGGGATGGCTAAGGCTAACGCACGGACTGGAGACAGCTAATGTCAAATTGGCAAACTCCCCCGAAACGGCGAAACTAAACTAAACCCGTTGAATCCAACGACAACAACAGCAGAGAAAGCGCGTTTGTTATTTTTTGTTTAGACTCTTTCATGCATTATGCATATCCAGCTTTTTTAAGTAGCTGAGCCTAAGGGTCCAAAATAAGCAGAATACAAGTAGCACTCCACTCCATCCACTTAATGTAACCCTACACAAAATGGTACGCAGTATTAATTAATTAATTAATTGCGTCAAAGTTAATTAATGTTGGAATCGTGTGTTTAACTTAACTCTTGGAAGCCCCCAAGGGCTGGATGGATCAAGTTGAATACAGATGGGGAGCAGCCCAGGGGAACCAAGGCCTCATTTCAGCAGGTGGCGCTCTTAGGGATGTCAATGGCGATTGGATTGCAGGGTTCTGCAGTAAAATCGGTACAGGTACGGCAATTGAAGCAGAACTTTGGGGAATCTATAAAGGTATTGATCTTGCTTGGAACAAAGAAGTTAAATTCCTGATCATAGAGACGGACTCCCAACTAGCCTTAGATCTGCTGAATAAGAGAACAGACCCGACTCACCCGCTAGCTACTCTCTTGCGAGCTATCCGGAGGCTGATTGCGCAAGAGTGGGTGGTCCAGTTAGTTCATACGTACCGCGAAGGGAATAGAGTCGCGGACTGGCTCTCGAAGCACAGTCTCGTCTATCCCTTCGGGACGTTTGAACTGCTGAATCCCCCACCCGAGTTACAGAAAATCTTACTGGAAGATCTGAGGGGGGTAAGCTTCCCTAGACAGGTGGTCGTTTGATCTTTGCAGCTTCCTTCCTCGAAGATTACCTCTTGCCTTCTACTGTAGTTGAAGCTTCTCTGGGCTTTTTGTGAGTTGTTTGTGACCATTTCTCTGCTGTTTGTTTCGCTCGGCCTTGTTGGCTGATGCCAACGCTTCCTCTGGTGATCGGCAGTCTTGTTGCCGGCACCTCCCTTCAATCAAAAAAAAAAAAAAAAAAAGTTACTCGTTATATTATTACGAATTGACTTTTTTTTTCGTTTGGTATGGAAAGCCTAATTACTGCTGCAGCATAATTAACATTTAACACACATCATTAATTGACGGCTACAAAAAAGGTTAATAGTATAATAAGCAAACGACAAAAGGTTTATTGCCAAATACGTGAGAAATTCACATGTATTGCTTCTCAATATGGCGTTGTTAATCAATCTGTTGTGCATTAAGGGTCAAGCGATATATATATGAATCTTAGTTAGTTAGGATGACAATTTGAACGCGCCTCGTTGGGAATTATCCAACCTAATTCATGATGGGGCAGGTATTACCCAACCTGCACTAGCGTGGGCGATACATGAGTATCTGCTTCAGACCCATTTTGTCTCGTCCTGCCCCGTTCTTGATCCATTTTATCTTAATTTCTTACAGTATTCATTCATATTTCTCATGTTTTTTACTTTTTCAACTAATTAGACTTGATCTTTCAGCTAGTTAAATTCAATTACCCATTTTCTTACCACTATTTCTTATTCGTAAAGTGTTATCTCCTTCATTTTATCGTAAAAAGTGAATTTTGCATTTTTTTCCAAATAACATGTAAGGGTGGGTCGACCGATTCCGCTTTGTACCTGTACAGGTATTACCCGCCTCAACCCACAGTAGCATGGGACATGACATGTGTATTGAGGTATCCGCCCCGCCCCGCCCATTGCAATCACTAATCATAGTACTTACAAAGAAAGTAAATGTCTTCTAAAAAAAGTAAATTTGAAAATTAATAGCTGAATTGATAGATAAAACTAATTTTTCAAGATACTTAGCATGTAAATTAACTAAAGCATATTTACCAAATGCAGTAGACTTTTATAAAAAATACATTTTGAGATAATAGGATAATACATTTTGAGGAACCAACCTATATAAATACATACATTTTAATTTATAAATTAATAGTTATGAATACTATGTGTTCCTGCATTCTTTAGTTCAGGTGTTCAAGATAAATATTTGATTTTATATTTCTAGAGATCTAAATTTATGTTTTAAGTTACTCGAACCTCTATTTCATTGATCTTACATTTAATGTAATTTATCAAATATATGGTTAACTCATTACTATAAATACTACATAAAAATTGCACGGGCCGATATCACAAATCGGTTGCGCTCCGATAACAAATCTCAATATCATATTCTCATTTATTGTTACTATATATTGTATATTTGTTGATGAATTTTATTTTTAAAAATCATATTCATACATGGTATATTAATTTTATTTTAATAAAAACATAAATTGTTATATGTTGATAAATTTAACTTTTAATGTTCATTTTATCATCTTAATCGTCCAAATTCATACATAATTACGTTGAATACGTCATAAATATTCATTCTATCTTTCCAATATTTAAAGTTCACAGGATAACTTATTTGATCCTACTTATTAATGGTGCAAAAATTAATTAAATAATTTCATGCTCCGACTATATTAATTTATAGATGTTTCATCGTACGAATCAATCATGAGTGTAACTTGTTGGGTGAAGTTTATAAATGAAAATCAAAAGTGAACACCATTATATTGAGGGTTTATTAAAATAGTATAGTTGATAAGATTAAAGAAATGGCTAATCCTTATCTTTTCAAGTATTGTGTTCTAATTCTTAAACATCCTCCTCGAATTTTTAATGAAAAATTTCAATGTTTTTTTTACAATATTTCATTATTTTGTACTTTTTGTAGCATTTTAGATATATAAAACTCACATTTTATAGCGTCATTCCGAAAGGGAAAATAAAATAAAATTGTCGAGCAAGCACACAGGTGTGTCCATCATCATCTACGCGGTATTTTTTTATGGTATTATAATTGATTACTGTCGTCGGCTCGCCGGGAATATTTGTGGTTGTGGATATCAGAAGACGGTGGCTGATGGACCGTTGGCATTGCCAATTTGCCATCTATGATCGTCATGATTGACGATAACTTCTTCTTAATTGTTTTTCTTTCTTTATTATTTTTGTTTGGGTTGGCTTGGATCAAATAACAATGGTTGATTCTTCTGTCGGCCTGTTTGGTTTTTGCCAATTTTAGTCTCCAATTCAATTTTTCTCCCCATCTTCTTCCTCGTCGTCGTCTTTCTCCTTCCTCCGCTCACATAGAATTCAAACCCTACAACAGAAAAATTCCAGCCCCTCTGCTTTCCTCCGTGATTACCATCGCCATCACCACCGTTGCCCGCCGCCGATTGTAGCCCTCGGATTCGTGAAATCGGTTCATTTTAGGGAATCGCAATCTAATCAACCCCAAACAACCCGCCTACCTGTCCTCCCTTGTCACGGATTCAATTCACTGCCGTGTCTCCCTGTTTCTCTTACCCACCAATAAAGATCTCGATTGGGACCTCCTCCTTCTTTTCTCTTCTGTGTTATCTCCCGGTAAAGTTTCTCTCTTTCTCCCTCCCTTGTTTCCTCTTCCTTACTATGAACTTGTACCATTATTACTCTTCCAATTCCGGATGAATCCCTTCTCACTTCTCTCTGCCCACCGGTTCACTTAACTGTTTTTGGTTGATGTACTTGAACCATTCACGTTTCCAGCTGTGGTTTTGTTAGCTTTAGTTCATGATCAAATTCAGAAATTAAGCATCTTCTTAGGACTTAGATGGTTCCTGGGTGCCCATCTCGAGGTTTTTGACTTGTATTTACTTATATTTTCTTCAATTCATTCAGCTGTAACAGTGTTGAGTTAAGCGGAATTAGAAGGAGGAGGAGGAGGAGGGGTTTCTGAAGGTGTATAAGTGGGTGGCAGCTGCAACCAGACCTTATGCGTGGCTTTGGTTTCTGGGTTGCTGATTGATTGGTAGTTCTTTGGTTCAAGTTGGTGAAAACTTGTTGCAGTGGATGTCTTGTTAACAGATGAGTATAGCATGATGAATGTGGGAGTGAGAATTTGTAGATGGATTCCCCTGATAAGTCATTTGCTGACATAGTTGGGCTGTTCAAATCCTTTGTCCCTTGGCGGACTGAGCCGCCAACCGTGTCAAGGGACTTTTGGATGCCCGATCAGAGCTGCAGGGTTTGCTATGAGTGTGATTCTCAGTTCACATTAATCAACCGCAGACACCATTGCAGGCTTTGTGGCCGAGTTTTCTGTGCCAAGTGTACTTCTAACTCAATCCCATTGCCATCATCCCGTGGTTCAAGAACTACTATTACAAGAGAAGAGTGGGAGAAGATACGAGTGTGCAATTATTGTTTCAAGCAATGGCAACAAAATCCCACTCTTGATTATGGATCACATGTTCCAAGCCAGGCACCCAGCAGTTCAATGTCGGCTGCCAGTTTGTCTAGATCAAACTCAAGTGGTACAGCTAACAGTAGTAGTTATACTCCTGGTTCCATGCCATATTCTATTGGACCTTTCCAACAAGGTCAAGGAAGCATGGATGCAGATCCATGTCAGGCATCTCAAACGGTGACCAAGTTCGATGATAAGCAAGTGGAGGAAGAAATATTAGGAAAGAGTGATGACCATGTTACAGAAGAAGCGTATGAACATTCAAATGGATACTTTTACATGAACAGGTAAGTTCATCATCATTTTCTCTTAATTGCTTATTTTATGTTCATCTTTAATGCCTCTTTATCTATCATCAATAGATGGAGCATAACTATGGAAGTTTAAATTGAAGTTGAAATTGATAATTATTTTAATAGAGAATGTACTGGATTCTTATGCTTAGTGTTCCTTCTGCATTAGGAGTGACGATGATGACGATGAGTACAGTATTTATCGATCTGATTCTGAATCTCAGAACTTTCCTCAAGCCAATGGCTACTACCATCAGGCTCAGTTTGATGATCCGAGCAATGATGATGAATTGCAGAAAGCTCATCTTGATGGAGAAACTATTGAATCAAAAAGTTTAAGTACCTCTCCTTTAAATAATAGTTTTTTGTCCCATGATCTAGAAGGAATTCACAGGCTTGGGGAAAGGGATGAGCATTATATTGATTATGATGGTGAAGCTTCTTCTACAATGTATCCTGGGGAAGATGATAGTGCAGAACCTGTGGATTTTGAGAACAATGGACTACTTTGGCTGCCTCCTGAGCCAGAAGATGAAGAGGATGAGAGAGAAGCTGAGTTTTTTGATGATGATGATGATGATGTTGACGTGGCAGGAGAATGGGGAAGGTTACGTCCCTCGGCCAGTTTTGGAAGTGGAGAGTTCAGCAATAGAGATAGGTCAAGTGAGGATCAGAAGATGGCCATGAAGAATGTTGTTGATGGCCACTTTAGAGCTTTAATTGCTCAGCTATTACAAGTGGAAAATGTTCCGCTGGGCGATGAAGGTGACAAAGAGAGTTGGTTAGAGATCATTACCTCATTATCATGGGAGGCTGCTACCCTTCTAAAGCCAGATACAAGCACAGGTGGAGGAATGGACCCTGGTGGATATGTGAAAGTGAAGTGCCTCGCTTCTGGTCGGCGCAGTGAGAGGTGATTACTACTTGTATTAAAAGTGTGTTGTCCATACGTATGCTTTTATGCATGTGCCATTTAGTATATAAACTCTTCGCTTTGGTTGGGATATCATTTACTAAAAACAAGTTGTACAATTGGTTGGAATATCATTTTTGTTTCACTTGTTGGAGCTTTCCTGCTAAAACTAGTGTTTGCTTGAATAAGGTGCATTTTTCTGAGAATCTTGTCTTGGAAATCTAGAACAACTGTTGTTAGACACAGTGTGATGATGGGAGAAATAATTATTAGATCTCTTCACTTATAGATGAAAGTTCCACCTCATTGGCTTCTTCACTGAAGATGGAAAGGAAAACTAATAATATGGCAGCCGTTTTGTCCCGCTTCCAACTGAATTTATTTATATCAACTACTCAGAAAATCTATCCAGAATTTTTCGTACTGCAAGCATTTCTTTGGAGGAATTTCAATCAAGTCTTATCTGTTGAAATTTTCTGCTTTCTGCGATAGAAGGAATTCCATAAACGATACCTGCTTATATAGTGGAAATCTTGGGCTTATTTATTATGTTATGATGAGAGTATGAACTTATTAAGTGTTTTCCTGAGCTGTTAACAATCATGTTATGCTTATATTTCCTTAATTTGTCGTATTGTTTTTCTTCTAGCGTGATGGTCAAGGGGGTCGTTTGTAAGAAA